TTCAAGTATTCTACCTTTATTATCTCCAAACTAACTATCTATTTCTATTCCACCTTTGGCACCTTCAAGCTAACTTTCTATTCCACCTTTGTCACCTTCAAGCTGATTATCTATTCCATCTTCATTATCTCCAAGCTGACTATCTATTCCTATTTTATCTTCATCACCTTCAAGCTGACTATCTATTCCTATTTCATCTTCATCACCTCCAAGCTAACTATCTATTTCTATTTCACCTTCATCATCTTCAAGTTGGACATCTAGTTCCATTAAACTTTCTCTTGCAAGGTGGTCTTCATTTGACTAACATAAAATACATCTATTTTTCTCTTTTTCTTTAAAAATTTTTCATAGAAGTTTGTCAATAGTATTATTATAAATTTTTATGTAGTTTCAAAGTGAAGCTTGACAAGAAAATTCTCTTTTACACTTTTTATATTGAAAAGTCATTTTTTTTTGAAAAAAAGGGGTACATAATATTTATAATAAGAATTAAATATAATTATATATAATCATGATTTCTTCTTATATGATTTTAATTCAATACACACCAATATGTATCAACTATTATGACATTATCAGGTGTATTATTTTTTTTTTTTAAAAAAAATCAATTTTTACAATAACAGAAATTTAATGGTTTAAAATATTTGAAATGAATCACATCCCAAAACAAAGCTAAAATCTTGAGTCAAAGCTTGAGTTTTTGTAAGCCATTGAGTTAAAAGGTTATTTTGTTAGCTACACTACTAATTTCAATATCTATTGATTATTGTAGAACTTTAAAAATTGGGCCAAGATACATATGGGCTAGGTGCTACGAAAAGGGACGAAATTGACAAAAAAAAGATCATCAGAAAATTAATTTTTATATTATAAATCTTATAATAAATTATAAGAAAATGCAAACTTTAAAGAGTTATACTACAAAATTTTATTAATATAACTACTTTTGTGTCTTAAGTAAAAAATGACCCTAATCTTATTCTAAATTGATTTATGTAAAAAAAATTGTCAATTTCATCCCTTTTTACAGCATCTAGCCCATATGTATAGATTAATAAGTGTAAGTATATTTATGAAATATACAATTGTCATTGGTCTTAAACAATAATAATTATTAATTTTTGCTATTACATTGCATAAAATAGATCATTAAACGATTTAAGCCAAAGGTTTTGTAAGCTATTCAAGAACTGAAACAGACCAATTTGATATGCAGTTTGATTCTTGTTAGTTACTGAAAACAGACTCAAGATCCAGGATAGGGTAACTTTGTACTAAGGTTATATTTCTATTTATGTTTGCAATAGTCAGTTATTAATAGTATGTTGTTTAAAGACTTCTGGCTAGCAAATTTTATACGCAATATAATGGAAGTTATAATGATTAAGCTCATTCTTAAATTGCATCTGACTCCTTATGCCTCTGGTTTAACAGGAGGTAAACTCAAAATATATATGAGCTTGTTATTGAGCTTTTCTTTTATATTTTGCTCAGATTATATATAGAACTTAAAGTAACTATAGAAATTAAATTGTATATAAGACAACTCTTTCCAATGATCATCTGGTCAACAAAAATCAAGAAACCGAACTACGGTCAGCGCTATAGAAGATGCTAAAGTAAATAATAAA